AATTGATTGATCACGCTTAAGGTGGCTTTCAGACCGCATCCATTATTTTTCGTCTCCCCCCTCCTCTTTTCCGAACAAAGATGGACTCGTCCATCTGAACAAACTGTCAAATCGATATCCGTGGTGCTAACGAAAAAACACCACTTTTTTCAAAATGTATTGTTGTGGTTTTCACACCTGATGATGATTGCTTGTGTTGCAGTCGAAACGTCGTGAGAATTGCATTGTATAATATTTTAAAATTTTTTATTGTTTCCCTTCTACGTGACTTTACCGAAAGAAACAATAATATAAATATCTGATAGTTGTTCAGTCGACAATACACAACACTCGTCAACACACTGCAGGATTAAGGGCTCCCTACACCATTTCCGTAATGGAGGGTTTCTGACCATCCTTTACAGTGCTGACCAGTGCAGGTTGGTCAGTTCTGATCACTCGGCAACGACGTTGGCCATGCTCAGGAGTTGAACTCAGGTTGCTGGGATTCATAGTGCAGGATGCACTCACTGTGTCACTGCTCCATCCTGTATTCATTCTCGTGAGTTTTATTTTAATGTGTTTTATTGTTAAAGAATGTTGAACAACATAATATTGTAAAAGAGCTTGGCGCCTGCTCGCCATAAGTCCTTGCAGATCATATCTATTCAGAGTGAATTTTTTTTTTAATTAAATTAATAGACATTGGCCAATTCTAGAGAAACGTGGAAATAAAAAAATATATCTGAAGTAGCTCATGCAGAATCGGAATCTTTATTTAGACTGGAAGAATCCGATGAGCTATGAAGCTCTTTTTCATAGATGTCCAGTAAGGGGTGGGTCGGAAAGTGAAATACATTGGTACAGTATGTGATACTGTTCAACCGTACATGGTTAAACATAGGCTTTATTTTAATTGATTTAAACGGTGCTAGTTAAATAGTTTTTTTTAATTATTATTGATGACACCAGCAGCTTTGATTTAAGATAAATATTGTCATCAAATATGCCATATCTTATCAAATGCTTCTGATTCAATGCATTTTACATGATCAATATTTGATTGATCGTGTACACTATTTAATTATTAATTTTGAATAACTGCACACTTGCTCACGACAGGAAAAAAATCCTTCCACGCAAACCATTTTACGTTTAGAATATTCCAATTATGATTATGAGTGTCAGTGTTTTGACATAAACTATCATATAGATATATATTTTCACGGTATTATGTGTTTTGGAATGAATACACTCGAATCTGTGTATTGCATTTACCAAGTAAATGGTAAAGATTGATTATTTTACTCTCCTTTTCTCAAAGGACGTGACTGAAAATGTTTAAAGAAGCATCTTTTGTTTAACTTGTTAATATAAAATAAGTCATCGTCATAAAATGTGAGCACACGATTGCCAGTCTTATATCACACACATCACAAATCAAAAAGCTGCAGATGTGTTTTGTTCAATAAAGGAAGTGGTTGGAACTTCGACTCATAAATTTGTTTTTGTTCAAAGCATATGGCAATGCTGTTGCTTGCTCGAAATAGCACATACATCTTTAATGTGTCTGTTTATGCAACAGAGAAACATAGGCTTGAAATAACCACACCTCTGTTGAGAAAATGCCTGCCATGTGCTCTTAATTTACTCTGTGGTTATATGTAAAACGTCAGACGCATGGAAAATCCAGAATATGGTGCCAATTCCCTATCACCAAGTTCTTCATTCTTTGTTAAACTCAACATTTATTTTTTTAATTATCTTTACATGATGAATTGTCTTGTATATCGACTCAAACGGTAAAGGTCAGCTGGCCATTTTAAAGTTTTATTTTAATTCCCTTTAAGGCAGGAAAAAAACATGCGGAAATGGCCAAAGCCGAACAATGATAGGAAGCTTGCTTTTATACAATGAGGAAATGTGCTCCGGTATTTTTGAGCAACCTGGGCTCTAGACATTATTAAATATATATTTTTTAAAAATTCAATACAAATTGGACTGTGTCCAGCACTGACATGCATGGATATTCAAATGCACACCTCATTCTCCTACCGAGCTTGTTGCATTCTATATAAAGGAGACATAACAAGACCAATGATGTGATAGAAAAGTTATAGCGTTGACCTTTGTGGTTTTAGTTACAATGGCATACACATGCATCTGGTTATAAATTCACAAAATGTAGGTGTATGCGTACGACAATGGAATTAATAAAAATGTAAAAATACAGCCTTTTGTCAGTCTACTGCTAGATTACAGCCTTATTATTTTCAGTCATGGAGATTGTTTTACCAAATGTTATCATTGCTGGGCAATGCGGGTTTTGAAGGGCTGGCCTCGGACCAGTGCAGATATCACTCGCTACTAATGTTAGCCCTGGCCGGGAATTGAACTCAGGCCGCCAGATTTACATTGCAGCATACTACATAGGTATGTTGAACTTCTTTGACACCGTATATAGCCAATCATGCTAATCGGAGCTGCACTCCACGCTCCACAATATATACACAACCAAAGTTACTTTCGCACGCAGGAATCGGAGCCAGTTTTTTTGATCAATTTTGCTGGATGCAAGCTATGTTTAGACTGCAGGGAGTGCTGGCACCATACACTGTCGAGCATCTACAATAAGTCATAAATTGTACACCAACGTGTTATTTACGAGGATGTGTCTCTTGCATTAAATGCATTAATGATGCTCTCACCTGTATGGCCAACGTGACCACATATCTGTATAAGCTGCATTACTCAGTTTGTTTTTGCTTTAAGTTACGAATACATTATAAGGTCGCCCTCATTTACACATAAAGTGCTTGCCACAAATGAACCACAATACCTTGCTGATCTCGTCAAGGAGCATAAAGCGTCACGTTAACTACAATCATCCTTGCAGCAGCTTTTGGCTGGCCATCGCACAAAGATGGTCACTGCATTGCGCTTTCAGATGCGCTTCTGTGGCCATCTGGAACGCTCTTCCTTCAGCTATTAGGAAGCCACTGGAGCTATGCACTTTTAAATATAGATTGAAAACTCATTTCTTGAGAACTGCTTTTTGTGCTTCGTTTGTTGTCCTTCCCCTGCACTTCCGATTGGCACGGTTGGCTACGCACAGTGCGGAAGAAGTTCGACATACGGTCGTACGGTGCATAGCGATGAAATATTGAATGTACAGCAGACAATTGCTTTATTAAAAAATAGTCAAAGACTAAGCCAAACCACATTTCTGAACCATGAATTGATTCGTAAAAAGGGGCTGAATTTCAGATACATATGAAAGTGCTTACAAGTAAAATGTCTGTCAGTATCCAGAATAATTCACGTCGTTTGGATGTATAGACAGCATTAAACATATTAATGCACTCATTTGTAAGCAATGAAATTACTGTGGTCTTTGAACGTGGAAAGTTAATGTGGCTTATTTTTAATTATCATCATTTTAACACCAACATCAAACATACAAATTAAAGCTTGGAAACAAATCCATATATATAAAAAAATGATACCATTTTTGGAAAGGCTATATCATTTGTATATTCGGTTTAGTCTTTCATTGGTTATTATAGATGTGACACCTACTTGAAAGTTGTGTAACATTCAGTGACAATATTTCACTGCATGTTTGGGATTTGTAACCTCCAAATGAAGAATGCTTGTGTCCATATGCTATCTGCATGCCTTGCATGACGAGAATTGAAAATTGCATTCATTAATTTAGCACAAGTAATACCAAATAAATAATTACTTTTACGATTGCGATTTCATAATTATATTGTTGCAATCATCAGCATCAATGATTATTATTGTTACTTGAACACAGGAGGCATATACAAATGTTTACGGTTCGGCAGTATTGTATGGTCAGGATGAGCAAGTCAGTTACAAAGTTGCTGAGTGAGATCTTAGTGACAAAAAACTTACCACGTAATCTTTTTAGCATAAATACAATACATTTTATTAAATCGACAAGTCTCCCGAAGCAGGAACTAGACTGTCATAGAAATGTGAAATTTATAAAACTATCTCAGAGCACCCAACGGAGATGAATAACGCCCAATGGTGTCCGTTTGACGATGAAGTTACTTCACACTTCGGATATCGGTGGTCAAACGAGACATCGATCATGTCCAGCAAGCATTACTGTACACCTGCACTGAGGTTGCATCTCTATAAAATGTCAACTTTCTTCTGTGCATCATGCATCACGTGCTGTACGCGTTTAAGGTTATTACAGTGAAAAAATATCCCTTAAAGGACATCTATCAGCACATTTTAACTTCACATTCCCAAAATAGTATTCAAAATCATTCTGATTCACATGCAAAGTTAAAACGTTTCGAAATAGAAAAATATATATTCACATTTTATGAAATCCTATTATAGGAGCCACTATCCTTTTCGTAAACCCATTAAACTTGTGAAATATCATTTAAACTGTCTCCAGTAAGAATTTAAACAGTTTAACATGTAGCAGGCTTTCGCGACCAATATCATCCATAAGAGGTTTATTTTTGGGTTAGATCGCGTAAATATATAAATGTGTCGTTAAAACCCGCCACCACCCGACACAGCCAACTAGTAAGGGTTGTCACGTTAACAGAATGTGGCCAATTCGTCACTAGTACAGCACACCAGTGTGGTGGAGAGCCAAGCCACAACATTTATAATCTGAGTACGACGTTTCGCCAGTGTCTAGTTGCAATTACTGGCGAAACGTCATACTCAGTTTGTAAATGTTGTGGCTTGACTCTCCAAGCCACAACAGTTGGCATGTTCTGTTTACGTGACAACTCTTACTAGTTGTCTGTGTCGGGTGGTGGCGGGTTTTGATGACACACGTATATATTTAAGCGATCTAACCCAAAAAAAACCTTTATTATGGAAGCATTTAAACGTTGCTTTACATAAGACACGTAAAAACAAAATATTTTCCCGTATTTAAAGGAAAATTAAAGAAATAACTACACTCGTGAACAACAAGTTACTTAGATCCAAAAGCATGTTTTTGTATCACTGTATACCTGGCGATGGGCTGCTGCAGCAGAGATTTCTTGATGGTCACGTGCTGTTCCATTGAGGCTATGCTGACAGCGATGTACATCACAAGATGTGCATGTCCTCCCAGACATGCAGCTAAACTACCAAGTGTAAGTTACACTATATCTCCCATGACCCCCCAGGGTGGATGAAAAGTGGAGTAAGTTTCCTGAGCTGTCCGCTCAAATAGCTCATGTACACTTTACTTGTTTTTTTAATAATTATGTAGCTTTACTGCAATGCTAAATAAGATGAACACAACGAAGAGTTTAAGTATTATGTTTTGTATGAATCGGCAAAGATTCGTTCGTATTGGTCTACGGGTTCTAGCCGGCTTCGAAGATCATGCGTAAAAACTTGGCTTTGAGCTGACTTGCTGTCAGTGGAACATGCACTTAAAAGTCTTTACGTGCACAGAAAGCTGGAAACAAGCTCAGTAGGATCATGACGTCAGCGCTGGGCAGGATGCGGCCAAACCTTCAACGGCCAAAAAAGGAGCGCAAGTTATGGGGCAATAAATAAACACTCCTTGGGCAATTGGCGCACATCTTGCATGATTTTCTCCCACTATGCTCGCATTTCCTTATTTTTTTCTACACATAATCTGTGCATAACAGCTAAAAAAATTCATGCATGATACAATGCTGATGGTTTGGGTTATTTTTCTTTATTTATTATGATTATTATTACACTTGCCCTAGAAGCCCTCACAGAGTCTTGAGACTCCTTTTCAGGAGGGTCCTGACAAGTTTTTCACAGTGGGGGGGAGGGGGGCGATGCTATAATTTGCGATTCCAATTGAGCAACGTTGCAGTACATTTATTGGCATTGGGATGTTTGGCCAATAATAAGTTACATTGTACGTGTTTTTTGAGCTGTGGGAGGAAACCGGAGGACCCAGAGGAAACCAATGCAGAACAGAGGGAGAACATACCAACATACAAACTCGACTCGAACGCAGGACCTTCTCGCTATGAGGTACAAGTGTCACCACTGTGCCATCCTGCCACCCAACATAAGCTTGATTGTTTACTCAAAAATAACTTGAAAATGTATTCCATGTGGAAACCGCATGCACGAGCGAGGATTTATGTTGTGCATGAGTTATGAGGCTGGTGCAATCAAACGAGCATCTAAACAGCGGAATGTAAGCGTTTAAGCCAGATGAAAGTCGTACAGTTCCCTCGCGATTTTTTTTGAGCAACGAATACATTTTCATTTTCAAGCGTATACGAGTTAATCGTGTTTTTGTATCAAGCTTAATGACTTGAATTAAGGCCAAAAACTATTCGGTCTCGACAACTAAATTTCGTATGTTCATTCACGGTGCATGTAGCTAACCCCTGTTACATTCATCGTGAGCAGCAGAGAGATGGCTCCGTGCTTGCCAGATGTTTTAAGGGCATGCACGGATGGCTAACTGGCAGTGGAAACTAAAAGAGAAGTAACAATTCAAGTCTGTTTTTTCCTTGAGGGCCCATATTAAATAAATCCATGAGTTTGTTGGAAATGTTTAAGTAATTGCATTACAAGGTCGTATTAGACATCTCCATCGTGATGTTTTTCATGCAATTGAATTCACTGATCATAAATGCATCAGGGTTGGGGTTTATCTTTTTTTCAAAGTCATCCATTTCTCCAAAACGAAAAACTGAAATTTAGAAGACCATACATTTCAATAGACAGGCGTTTAGTAATGGCATTCATTTTTTTATCACCTAACACGTGGATTAATACATGTGTTCATTTAAATCAGGTAAGCCAATCTTGAGATTATCTTATTTGTATGCTCTATCTCTTGTGGAGAGTTGTGGTTGTATAGGGACAGTCGTATATTTGTTGTGCAGTTGTAAATCTTTTTATATGTGTAATATATGCTGCAACACAAGCAGGCATACAATAGAACATTCTTGGAAATGATTCATGTGGTATTAATGTCCAATGTATATCCAGTGTTGCTTTGATTACTTCCCCACAGATATTATTTAGATGGCTGCTATTGTCAATTGAAAGTTACAAACTGATTTGGTGGTGAGAATGCCCAACCACTTGGCCATTCTAAATCCTCAAATCTTTTTTTGGCTTTTGTGAATCCTACTTTGGCCTTGAATAGCCGCCATTCAAACTTCAAGCCACGGTTATGCCATGTAAATAAGCATGGCTCCTGATAAGCTACTTACGTATTTGTTGTGACAATTGACATTACATAATAGTACATATACCTTGGCTTCCACACAATTAGCCACGGTCACATATTGTTCAACACAGAGTTTTTTTTTTCAACTTGTGCAGTCCCTAAGCGTGTGCAGTGGATTATCTCTCAGGCATGCTCACTGTACCCCCATTGCTCTTGATATTGATTGCAGTTTAAAAAACATTGTTGAGATGAGTTTCTGTCATCATCCCCTTCATTTGAAGAAACAGTCCCACAGAGGCTATAGTTTGCACCGTGTGTTTTATCTCACAATGTATAAAGTATGAAATGTATATATTTCCTCATATTGCAGTCAAACTGTAATTCTAAAATGACTATGCTGACTGTTTTTTTTCCACATTTTATATCTTCAAGGGTTGTGCTATCAGTTGTATATAAGCAACAGCCACACCAGGGGAGAATAGCAGACGATCAAACGTCATTCAAAGAACGTGATCTGTTTTTTGAGCCATTCTACACCCTACAATGTGAAACAAAGAGCTCTCCATATTCATATATATTTTTATAGGATGTGGAGTATGTCTAATTCAAAAACTGAAAACCATGTTTGGCGAAGACATTTGGGGTTTCTGTAGATTTCATGAGCACAAGCCGCAGCTTGGTTAATTTCAACTCAATTATTTTTACCCCATCATATTTTTTTTCAGCCATTTGTTGCAGGCCAAAGGTCTGCCAATGCTCTAATGGGAAAATGCCACCAGACTGGATACTAATGGGCTGTGTGCCCCTTTACAAATAAATGAATAAAATAATTAAAAATAATAAAGTCATACGTGTAAAAAGAATGCCGATAATATAATCATCGCTGAGAGAAAGAAAAAAAACATACATTATGTTTTAGATTTTCTAAAATTTAAAGAATAGAAGATTTACGAGTTCCAAAACAGGGTCTTAAATTCTAGCACAATTTGAAGTGCTACATTGTTATACAGATATAACAATAACACGTTTATCTCTATTTCAGACAATAAAATGCATAGTTACACATTGAAATACAAACTATATATTGTTTACAATGTTTCAATGTTTACAATGTTGATAGCCTTGACAAATTAAAGAAAACTTGCAAAGGGAATTGTAAAATAGCCTCTTGTGACAATTGTTAAAAAAACTGGTCTTATCTGTCATCTGGTACGATAAAGAGAGGGTAAAGAGTCAATATTAGGTTTGACACTCTTTACAATTGCGTATATAACGTAGCTGTTTATGGAGCATTTTAAACATTCAAACAGCAGATTGTCTAATGTTCTAAGTGTCAATACGAATGAATGCATGCGTGGGATGCAAAGGCGAACACAATAAACGTCAATTGAATTAAATATAACTCTTGAGAATGGTGCATAAACTCATATTTCTTTAATGATCATTGTATTTAGTAAAACTAGACCACAATACAATGAATACATACACCTTAATTTGATTTGTAAACACACCTTCAGCATTTCATTTGCAAATTCATTGCTCTTATTCGCAGATTTGTTTTTAAACTGAACAAAACATCCTCTGAGTATATTTGTAACCGTTTACTGATGCATCATTGCTAAAACCGTCTTAAGGGGCCGTCCATAAATGACGTCACGCGATTTTGGACGAATTTTGACCCCCCACCCCCTTCGTCACACAGCGTCACAAAAAGTCAGACCCCCCTCAAATATGACGTCACAAAGCTCTGCCCCCCCCCCCCAAAAAAAATATATAAAACATTCTTCAAATCGCTTTAAACTATTGTCATTGTAGTGCGTATTTAATGTGGCGCTGCACTCTGATGTTGTAGGAGAAAACATTTATTAAAAAGTATATTTAATTAAGTAGCTGCGCATTTTGATGTGACGTCACGTTTCTCAACCCCCCCATCGTCACAAATATCTGACCCCCCCCCCCCAGGTACGTGACGTCATTTATGGACGGCCCCTAAGACACAGCAGGCTGCATTGTATGCAAGCGCATGCTGAAATTGACAAGAGGCGTTCATGACAATCACTGTATTCTCATGTTTGTGATGACTATAGTAATGTTTCGTTCACTCAGAAAAAAAATAACAACCATCATTTTAACATTTACCAGATGTGTGTTCTGGAAAATGTGATACACAAATACATTGGGGTGGTGTGAAAGGTGACGGTGCCACCCCAAAAGTTGCTTGCTCACACCACTGCTAGGAGAAAGGCCTCTATTAGAGGGAGCTCTGTAGAACCTCCCCACCGCCTTGAGGACATTTGCCTACTCTTCTTCTCCATCGGCTAAATGTCCTGGATGAGTCGAGAGTAGCCAGACGTTACCCCACAGCACGCGACCTGCCGATCGACGATGGTTGTACCCATTTATACTGCTGGGTGAACCGAGGCTGGAGGAATTTAGAAACGTGCCCATTATTTAAACTGCTATACCGGGAGATGAAATAGAACCAAAAACCTCTGCATTGCCAAGTGCAGCGTGCGAACCAATTGCAACTGTGGCCGTGGCTTCTACCCCCCCCCCGCCCCCCCCGATGACGTCTGGCGGGGACGCATCTGCATTGGCCCACCGGGTCTTTAATTCCCACGGTATTTGCGCACCAATCTGTGCGTGGAAAATTGTTGTGCAAAATTAATGCCGCGCGTGGGCGTACGTTTATTTATGCGGCGCGCATGTGCAGGTGTAAGTGTGCATCTTCAACATGCGACGTGTGCGAACTTGCATGCAGCCAAAGAAACATTCAATTATACACACATCATAGTCTACAAAGTACAATTTGCTTTGTTTAGAAATTCCATTCGGTCAATACTAATAAACTCAGCCATTGGCTCACATTTTGTGTGTTTCTTTAGCAACCGAGATTGATACCTGTAGTCAAACTTAATGGCTGCCTCTACTGTCTGGGAATATCTCTTCCTGGCTATGCCACATTGCTGGACTCTTTGCCCGTGTTTAATTATATTCCTATCAGTTATCCTACATGTAAACGTTCCCTCTAGCCTATTTACATTGCACATCAGCTTATTTTCTCTGCCATTCCACTTAAATCGTATTTCCACTTATAATAACGTTGCCATTACATATAGAACAGTAGATGGGCCGTACTATACACAATCCATACGCTTTAAACTGAACCACGATAACCCTGCTTGTGTTTCCCCTTCCTGATAATGCCTCCCAACGCAAAACCCTACAACCGAGTTCCCCGTATTCCCTTTCATATTGTACACAATGTCAAATCTTGAATTAAAGCTTTCGTGACTGGTAGGTTCAAAGAAAATAACAAAAAAAACTACGACGTTTCGATCGCAACACAAGCAATCGTCATCAGGTGAAAAAAAGAGCGGGAAAGCTGCTGAGGCAGGCTGTTTCAAAGGGTTTAAATGGGTGTAGCCCAAAGTTCATAAACGAAGTGGGCAGGGCTAGTGATGTTAAAGTGAAAAATTTGCATGTTAATGTAAGATTGGAGAGCTACCTCTACGGCGACGA